TTTCGATTTTCTTGAATAATTGTTTCTAACTTAGAACCCTATTAATTTTCAGAATTTTCGGTTCATCCTCACTACTTTAATATGAATTTAGAAAATGAAGAAGAAAACGAAATGTCAATCAAACACGACGATGTCTATGTAGGAGATTTTATTTTACCGAAATTATTAGGAGGAAGGAGAAAAACTTATTTTTATAGGTATATCTGTGTGGTTCAGAAGAAATATTCACGAAACGATATTGAAGTTATATCCCTTAAATCAACACATGAAACCAATACCTTCAAACTAACTGATAGTGATATTTCAACAATCAAGATAAATAGATAAAAAAAGTTATCCCAACCGGAACTGCATAATGTCGGCGACAGAATAAAATATGTATTTCCAAAAAAATATTGATATTTTTGAAGCCTAAAGCACCCATAAATTTTAAATAGTGAGAGATTCTCGTCTCTTGTCTCGTCTTGTCTCGTCTCGAACTAGACGAGAGAGACATTTTCTCTCGAAAACAGATTCGAGACGAGAGAGTGTCATCTCTCGACGAGAATTCCTCGTTTCTCTCGAGCTCTCTCGGGCTCTCTGGAACAATTTTCTCTTTGTTCATTTGAAATTTTCAATTGCTTATCGTAACTTAAAATTTTAATATATTAGATTCCGAGATAGTCAAAAAGTTAACTATAACACACTATTCTATATATATTAAGTGGTAACAAATGATACTTGTGTTATTAGGATTTTATAAATAATGATTTATAAGAAAAAATATTTCTCATTTCATTTATTTAAAGTTTATACAATCATTTCTTATATTTAACCCATTCTGCTTTTCTGAGGTTACTTTTAAAGATAAGTTGAAAATTTTTATGCGTTTTTGTCAAAAAAAAAGTAATACAAACGAATGTATTATACACCATGTCCCACGTAAGGCGGGCATTACAACTTTATGGAAAATAAATTAATTTGTATTTTCGCCATTTTCTGAGTATACATAATCGAATATGCTCTTTTGAATTAAAATAAAATGAACTCTGTACAACTTCCGGTTATACCGGAAGTGACCACTAACTTCGTTATTTTAAAGGGAAAACCCCATATTTTTTTTTTAATTTTAGATTCAGCATGAAATTCTGTAAACAACGATACCCCATTTGCCTATTCTAGTTATAGCGGATTTGCCGTTATTCAATTTTTTTCTACATTTTTAGTCGCCGGTAGACATTTTCTTAAAGTCGTCTATCTCAGGTACTATATCTATCAGATACTTAAAATTTTAACCAGAGGTAGTAGATGGGATGTACTTCTTGAGAATATTTAGTTATTCATTATTTGTTGTACGGGGTGTTTGCAAATTATTTTTAAAAATGAAATTTTTTAAACATAAAAAACTTTTTTATTTTAAATTGAACACCCTATATATTTTTTAAATTTTAGATTCAGCATGAAATTCTGTAAACAATGATACCCCATTCGCCTATTCTAATTATAGTGTATTTGGCGTTATTCAGTTTTTTATAAACTTTTATATGCCGGCAGACATTTGCTTTTTTAAATTTACTTGTACATCGTTTGTTCGACTGTGTGTTTGGAAATTATTTTAAAAAATAAATATTTTAAACATGAAATTTTTTTTTTATTTTAAATGGAAAATCCTGTATATTTTTATTTCATTTTGTTCAGAAAATTATTCTTCATTGATCTTCATTTGCACTATTAATTCCCTATAATTATATCTCGCCAATTTTAAGAAAATTTAAATTTAAATTTTACGCATGCACCTACATAATATAGTATAGTTTTACATTTTAATTTTTTATCTTAGTATGCCGTGGAAATATGCTAAACAACAATCTGTCAACAAACTGAATTGTCATATTTCTATGTATTTAAGTTGTGTATTTTTTGCGTTCAAAATATGGAAAATATGGAAAACATTGAAGAATATACCAACCAAGATATTCTTAATTTATTTTACATTCATGGAGAATGTAATCGAATCAAAAGTAGAACCTGCCGCATGTTTAATGAACGATACCGTCATTTACCACCAATGAGCAGACAGAAATTTGATAGAATCGAAGCTAACTTTTTGAATAATTTTAAACGAAACCCGGGAAGAAACCGTCAACATTATGTCCGAGATGAAGAAGTTAATGTAATTAACGTATTAGGGTATTTTACTGCGTATCCTCACGCCTCCATTAGAATGGCTCAAGATAATTTAACTATTATTCGAGGGTCAATACAACGAATTTTAGCACTAAATAAATGGCATCCCTATGCACAAAGAAAAGTTCATGAGTTGCGAGATAATGATCAAATAAGACGAACTGAATTATGCGAATGGTTATTGGTACGAATTCAAGAAGATCCCGAGATTTTAAACAAAATTTTGTGGTCAGACGAGTCGAAATTTACACGTAAAGGGATCATCAATCGCAAGCAATGTCATTTCTGGACAAACGAAAATCCACATTTTTATCGTGAAGCACAATTTCAGTACGAATTTAGTTTTAATGTGTTTGCAGTGATCGGTTTTGGAAAAGCTTTTTATTACATTTATAATGAAAGACTGACCTCAGAAAGATATATTAGAATTCTTACAGAAGTAGTTGCCGACATTTTAAACCAGCTACCAAATAATAATTTTTGGTACCAGTTGGATGGTGCCCCAGCACATTCAACATACTATGTAAATCAAGAAATTACAGCACTCTTTGAAGACCGATGGATAGGTCCAAATGGTCCTTGGCTTTGGCCTGCAAGATCGATAAAAATTTAGTGTATTCTACCCAAATTAATACTAAAGAAGAATTAGAGCAAATAGTTCGGAATGCCTTTAACGAGTTAGATGGTGAAATGATTCGTAAAGCAACAACTAATCATGTTGAAAAAAGATTGTTAAAATGTTTAGAAGCTAACGGGGGCATTTTGAACATTTGATAAAATGATTTTTTTAAACCATGTGCTTTTAATAAAAATTGTTTTTAGTTAGTATGTACCGTATCATTAAAAAAATTTAAACTTTTTAAACGACATATTTTGTTGCAGAAAACTGTAAATGTTTTTAAAAGTACATCCCATCTACTACTTCTGGCTAAAATTTCAAGTATCCAACAGAAATAGTACCTGAGACAGTCGACTTTAAGAAAATGCCTACCGGCGCGACGACTAAAAATGTAGAAAAAAATTGAATAACGCCAAATCCGCTATAATTAGAATAGGCAAATGGGGTATCGTTGTTTACAGAATTTCATGCTGAATCTAAAATTAAAAAAAATATGGGGTATTCCCTTTAAAATAACGAAGTTAGTGGTCACTTCCGGTATAACCGGAAGTTGCACAGAGTTCATTTTATTTTAATTCAAAAGAGCATATTCGTTTATGTATACTCAGAAAATGGCGAAAATACAAATTAATTTATTCTCCATAAAGTTGTAATGCCCGCCTTACGTGGGACACGGTGTATACAATGAGGACGAAAATTGTACCCTCCACTATTTTAACTTCTAAATGAAAAAAGATAATGACCAAACAAAAACGAGGTAAAACTCAAGAAATATTATATTTTTGTTATAACGAGATGCACTTTACTTGGGACACGTAAGATAGAGGGAGTTACTAGCTTTAAATTTTCTAATGGAAAGTAGGGTCATGTGATACCTCATTTGAAAGATATTTTCTATATTTTTACGTTCATGTAAACAGATTTAGATTTTTATGTTTTTACAGATTTTACATTAAATAAATTCATAAAGTAGGTTAAATTTTTGTTTTATTTACCGCTTCAACCTCAAAGGATCATTACCGGAGGTATAATAACTTATAAATGCTGTTTTTTACAATAGTATACAATGGATAATTAACATTTTGGGTAGTACAGAGTAAATGTCAGTATCTTTTATAAATTTAAGTAATTTTTTACTGTTAGAGGGATTTAACACTGCACAGACGGCAATTTTTGTAGCTGGTACGAGACGAGACAAGACGGGAGAAAGGCTCTCTCGAGCGAGAAAAGCGCCTTCTCGTCGAGACGAGAGAACAGTTTTCTCTCGCCCTACGAGACGAGAGAGGCCACTCTCTATTCAAAATTAAAAGTATATTAAAAAAAATGTTCCTTGATTTGTGTCAATAATTGGTGTCAATTACTGGTACATGAAACAAATCTAGTGTCAATGACTGATACTTCAAAATACTTTTTATATAATATTTATTTAATGAAAAGCAAAATGATCAGAACTAAAAATACATCACTAGAAACTATAAGCTATAAAAAAATGTAATTTTTTTATTATTGGTGAAAATATTTAATACAAATCAGTGTCTAATAGTGCAGTTACCTTACCATAGCGATTTGCGGAAGTAAACACTATCTCACTCTAAAAATCAAATATTTTATCTGCCTCCAATATTTATCAACATAGCCATGCCTGTCTGATAGAAATAGTCTGCAACTGTATTGTTTTGTATTCGGTGTTATTTTTCTGTTTGTTTACTTTGTCATAACACCTATTTTATTAATTATAATTATTTACGGTTGGCGATTAAAGTTTGTATGGACCACATCAGCAAAGTCTCTTTATCGAACTCGTCTGTTACTCGTCTCGCTCGGTTCTCTTGCTCGACTCATAATCTGTGACTAGTTCGATTATTAGTTATTAGTTATTTATTCTAATGTCAAATACATTTTTAAAATTTGTTTATTTTCGCTAGTGGGTCGTAGAAAAAATATACTGTACAGTTTGAGTAGATTGTCCGTATCGCACTCAGACGATTTGTGCTTCGTCTTCGTGGGATATGGTCATCATATCCACTCTTGTTGCACAAACTACTATTCCGCAATATATATGGATATGTACGGAACTGTCTATTTTGACGTTTAAAAAACAACACGGAATACAACACGAAAATATTTTATGTGGCTTTATTCTACGTGTTAGTAGAAATTTCAAAAAAATATGATAAAATAGTTACAATTACCCATACTTCATATTTGTACTTACCTTCTCTTTAATATAATATATAGGTCAGCTGCATCGTTGGAGAGGTAGACACGCCCTCACGTATTGACTGCGAATTTTCCAAAATAACGTTTATTAATTATTATTATTATTTTCCTAACAGCAGCAAATGTAATAATTTAAAAAAATACACTTAATTTTAGTTACACATTATTTATTAATTACACTACAGAAAAATCACAACCAATTTAAAAACCGCGAATAAACGAAATTTTAGTATGTCATTTTCAATGTTACAGTTGTTTTTGGTAAAATTTTTCCGAAATCAAGGACGTATTCCTGGTCATTGTTGATTTATTGACCCAACAGCGGAAGTATAGAAATATCCGCTGGGTTTTACATTGCTGTATATGTCGCGACGCTCACACTAAACGAATTTTAAACCGTGTGTATGGCGCCGTTGCGTTGAATTGAACTGTTCTAACATTCGGTCACTTTTTTATAAATTAAATTAACGCTATTTTAGATCCACGTTTGCTGCACGGAGTTTGATGCGGGGACTGAATTCATTCATTGACTAGATAGAGTGATGCGGCGCAAGCGCTGATGGCGTTTTTCGCCCTTCTGATGTAGCGCCCTTTGCAAAATAGTCATCGGGGTATATTAGAAATTTCTCGTTTTTTATTTGTTCAATGTTTGATGGTAAAAATTGGATATCGCTTCAAAACTCTTTCCGACTACACCGGTTTGAATGAAAATCTTACCATCCCTTTCAAAATTCATGTGTTCCTGATGTGTGCTTTTTATTTTTAGGTCTTGAATAATGCCTCTTTTGACGATTAAAAACAAATCACATCAAAAAATCTAGGAAACAGGAATAAAAATTGTTATAACTTTTTGGAGACACCATATATTACCTTAAAAATTTGTGTGGCTATTGATGATACTAACGTTCGTTTAACACCACCAACAAAAAACAAAACTTTACAAAAACAAAAATTATTTCAACAATTATAGAAAAAAAAATAAAAATCTCAATAACTTGATATGCAAGAAATCTCACGAAAACAAAATTTTCGATTGTTTGTGCTCTATCAATAAGCAGTGTAACCTCCCCGTCCATTAATTACAGCTCGGCATCTGTTGAGCATACTGAAAATGAGATTGTTAATTTCCATTTGGTCTGTAGTATTCCATAGGTCAGAAAGACAATTAAAGAGCTGTTCCCTTGTGCCAAACTGCCTTTGTTGACGAAGAAGTTTTCGTCCCATTGAATTCCACAAATTTTCAATAGGATTAAGGTCTGGTGACTGCGCAGGCCATGGCAAAACATTGTTATGCTCAGTTTCTAGAAATTCACGCACGAGCCGTGCTGTGTTGCTACCTTCTTTCTGTGCCTAAGCACCTGAGGTGGGATTTATGTCAATCCAAAGTTGGACTACAGTGAAGAAGGGGTGAGTCGTAGCAAAAGTTATGTTCTTCAGTGGGCGCCAGGAGTTTAACCTGACATCCAACAATCCATGTGACAGTTCACTACCAAACTCCAAATAGGAAACTAAAACATCTCCTCTACAGGCCATCAAGCTGCTACAAATCGAGTATGCTCCTCTTATATTATATGAGTTACTTTACCATAAAAATAGATGCTGACAGTTAGCAAGTGGGGATAAATAATAAGTTAAGTTCAATATATACCCAAGTTTAATAATATAAATATAAATCGTGTTGACATGGGGGGTCAACTTCGTTCACACTATGAAATATACTAATATATACCAAATTAATAACAACTAAATCACTTAGTACATTACTATCAGATTCCCCAACTATTAACAGTAATCCAGTATCACTGGGAGTAATATTTACAACTAAAACGCTATATTAAACTTAAAAATCATTAAATGGGACTAGGGGTAATCGTAAAAATGTAACACATGAGGTGTGTACTGTATTTAGCAAATAAACAAATAATAGTGTACTATTTACGGAGGCTAGGGGTAAAAACATGTAAAACTCCGTTACTTATTAAAAATATTAACTACCCTTAAGAATATACCCCACAAAGAGCTCTTGGTGACGTGTTTCGGGTTTAATAAAAATGTACTGTAAACCATACACCCCTAAACCTCGTTTACATTAGGTTTAGATTAAAACACGTACTAATAACACCCCCCAATAAAATAGATTAAATAGTAATAATTAATATAAAAAAATAAGATAGCAAAACTTGCGGTACACCGTGACTTCTTCCCAGCTGCTCTAGTAGACGGTTGATGTCCTACTTCGGCATACAAATCAACCTGCCTGTCGTAAAAGTTGGTAGCCCGTTAGACGATTACTAGCTGATCACAAGGAGTACTAGCTGGTCATAAGATGTGCTAGTCAGCCCGTCACAAGGAGTGTTGGCCCTTCACAAAGGACTACTGGCCCGTACCAAGAATTGATAGCCCGTCACAAGAAGTGTTGGCCCTTCACAAGGACTACTGGTGTTGGCTTTTGCAAGAATTGATAGCCCGTCACAAGAACCCTCTGTTACAGCTAAAAAGAGGGACAAAACGGTGCACCAGATCAATTGAACGGCAAATTCGCGAACGGCTTATTCAGAAAGACTACATATATATGTGGGCACAATGAGATTCAACACGTGGTTAAATATATCCTCCTAAGAGCCCCTACAACATGTGATCACCAAAAAATACTACCAATCCACACTGTTGTAAACTTAAAACAAAAAGGTTGCTTCGCAATATCCCAAATGGATTGAAACGACTTCCAATAAATTTCGAAGCAGTACCGTTCAAAACAAAACCTCGTTACCAATATCAATCTCGAAATCCAGAAGGGCGGAAACCGACGTCACTTCAAAAAAAAACAGTAATACCAACATACCTTAGCGACAAATAGATGTCCCATCAGCGCCCTCTATTACGAAATAAATTCTTGACAGAAAGGACTAAAATAACCAAACAAACCTCTAAAACCAAATAAATAGCCTAACCAAACTCAAATAGAGGTCCTATCTACCCCAAACTGATCATATACCCACAATTAACATCAGAGCGGAAACGCTAGACCGACATCTTGAATACAGGGCAGCCACATGCTCACCCAGAGTGTCGCAGGGGACCCCTCTGTTCGAATATCGAACCCAAAAGCACAGTGTATAGAAGGACCCATTAAATAATTACTGAGCACGGATTTATGAAAAACCACTATAAGGCCAAATTTAAACGTTACAGTGTGTGGTCAGGCATTGTCGTGCATTAGCTGGAAATTCGGACCAAATTCTGCAGCATATGGAAGCACAACAGGTTCCAAAATACTGTCACGATAACTGGTAGCATTCAAAAAGCCGTCTAATAAAACGAGGTCAGTCCTTCCTCCGACACGCATACCCCCCACACCATTATTGTACCACCCTGGTAGCTGTAGACTTCCTGGGCTGCGGAAAGACGTTCCAGATTTCCTGGTCGTTCTCCACACACGAAGTCCACGTGAATCCGGATGAAAACCGAATCGGGATTCGTCTGTAAAAAGTACCGTAGACCATTCTTGATGTCCCCAGTGTTGATGTTCTTGTTAACGGGGGAACACGGAGCGGTCTGTGAGCATAAAGGTTGAACTGGTGCAACCTGTTTCTCACAGTCTGGCTGCTCACAGAAATATGGTGTGTGCGGTATAACTGATTTGCTAACTGACCTGCTGTGACAGTTCGATCTCGTAGTGCCTGTAATCGAATAAAACGATCATGTAGAAGGTCAGTTCAGTTGCTGTCGTACGACCAGTATGTCGTTCTCTAACATCCCCGGTCTCACGGTATCTTGTCATCAATCGACAAATCACACTAGCTGATGTGTTAAGGACCTCCGCTACTGCTCTATAATTTTTGCCCCCTTCGACCATCCCTACTGCTCGCAATTGTTCGTCGCAGTTTAAATATCGTCTTTCCATCATTAACAACTAAACTAAACACTAAGCAAAATCCAAAAGAAACTAATACGCTAATTTTATCGATAAAAGACAAATATTTTTACGAACATTTTATCAAAACCTTCAGAACTTCAAAATTATGTACATTGTAAACAAAAGGGTATCAAAAATATCTACAGAAATTTTCAATATAATACCTGGTGTATCAAGAAAGTTCTCTAGATTTTTTTGATGTGTGTACTTAGGATTAAAATCATAATTAAACATTTGAAAATATATACAAAGTGTGTCTACGTAAGTTGACTCTACATATGGAATTTTTTTTATTAAATATTAGTTTTATCAAAAAATTTATTCCTTAATTGTTCACGCTCTGAAATTTAAAATCCAACAATAAGATATTAAATTTTTGAAGCCGTATACGAGGTGCGTCAAAAATTTTAATTTTGTTCAAGAGTAAAGGACCTTTATTTTTGAAAAACCTGGTTGGTATACGACTCAAAATATTTGATATTTGATGGTTGTATTGTAGGTTTCAGACTATGCACAATTTTTAAAAAAGAATAATTTTTTTTTCCTAAAATTAATAATAAAAAAGTTTTTTATATGCAGCCAATTGTCTACGTAAGTTAGCGTGGCTCTGTGCGGGCGAGCGTTATCATCCAGAAATCTGAAATTGGGCGCCAAATTCCAGCGATAATCGTTCACCAGGTTAGGTTTAGGATTTGATGTGTGGCGTATTAATAGAAATTCAATTTCTGTTGATATGACATGCAGATTAAAAAAATTCGCCATACATTACCGTCTCGATGATGGTGGGTGAGGTTTTCCGGGTTTTCCTCACCTGTAAGTCAAATGGCACCATCAATCATCTTTAAGTCGCTCCGGAGCGCCACGGCAAATAATAATAATAATATCCGTCCCTTCCCCTACACAAGTCGTTCAGTCGACTTCAGGGGTTGAAATTCACTCGTAAGGGGGTGAATTAGGGAGAGTATTATTATTATTATTATTATTATTATTATCAATGATGTCGTGGTCATAAATTTCACCTGTCATGGTACCTTCACAAACATACAACTCCATTCGACCACCATAGAAAATTCCACCCCAGACCATTACACCTCCACCTCCAAATGGATGCACTTCTTGAACATATTGGTCATTAACTCTTGAAATTCTTAGTCTCCACCCAGACAATACACCAAATGCCAGAGATGTCCACGGAATATCTTGTGGATCTAATATGGATATCCAAATGTCCGTCTATATCCAGAATATAGAAGATATCCTATGGATATCCAGCAAAATATCTAATGGTTATCTTCCAGACAATACAAGAAATCCCAGAGATATCCACAGAATATATTTTGGGGATATCCAATATATCCAGTGGATCTAATATGGATATCCAAATGTCCGTCTATATCCCAGGATATAGAAGATATTCGGATATTCAGCAAAATATTTTATGGGTATCTTTAGTAGAGGTTCATAAGTAATCAATGATTATTGAATAACGTCGAAAGAAAATAGCAGAGATAAAAAATTTGTTCAACTCTCAAAATATTTTCACACTCTGCCTCTGATTTTGCCGGTTTTGCCCACTAAGGAGAAAGTCATCCTTATTAGGAATCTTCAGCAATAAATGGAAATT